GCCATGACTGAACACTGGTTTCTTAAGAAATAAGCCAACATGAGATAAGGATTGTCCCTGACTCTTGTTTATAGTCATGGCGTAAGAAACCATAATGGGAAACTGTCACCGCTGGAACTTGAAAGGAATTCTAACATCAGAAGGAGTTATGGCCATTCTTGGAATCAACACCTTATCACCAGCATAGTCTCCTGTGAGTATCTTACACTCAAGAACGTGAGTCGATAGCTTTGTCATTACCAATCGTGTCCCATTACACAAACCCATAGAATGATCCATGTTCCGCAACAACATGACTGGAGTTCCAATCTTCAAATACAACTCATGGTTCGGTATTCCGGAACACTTGATACTATTCAAAAACTCAGGCGTATGGAGATCAGACAAAAAATCATTATTAGAATCCGATTTGCACGTATTGTCAGTCTCAAGTACATACGACCATCCAACAAATTCAATGATGTCATGTACTGATTGATAGACTCGACCACATCCAACGTCGGCGCTAATATAGCCCTATCCTTCAAATAACTTGGATCGTCGGGTGCCTATTTATACATTGGATATGTGCTTTCAACTATCTGAGCAATAGGATCATCAGATGGCTGAAGCAAAATGTCCTCGGGTATGTCTATAGGTGCACATCCATCATTCAACCCTCCGATAGTTCCATCTCCGATGTTGGCTATCCAATCTGCAAACCGTGCTAGCTCGTCACGTTCATCCGAATTAGCAAGTCCCTGAAGGCGCATTTTTTCGTAAGCCTAAGCACAGTACAACTCCTCCATATGTCAGAAGAATTAATAGCAGCATTGACTATGTCCTGACGGCTACCCTTTAGAATGATAGGAAGGATTTGTCGAAAATCTCTACAAAAAACAACCGGCTTCCCACCAAACGATTTGTTCAAGTTCAAAGGATTAATTGCTCCCATAATACCCTGCAGCGATGTCTGTACAGCTTCGAAACAATGCTTGTGCATCATTGGTGCTTCATCCCATATTATTAGAGAAGCACGAATTATCAATGGTGGATCTATACATTCCGATATTACTCTCGACTTGATAGTTTCGAAATGCATAGACAGCACCTTCTTCGAATTCATTGATGAAAGTTGGGATGTTGATTGCTTTACTATTCCAGTAATTCGACCTCCCTGAAAAAAAAAAAAAAGAAAAATAATATTAGATATTAGATATTATAATTAACATGATGAGAAAAATGGATAATCATTATTTTTTTATTATGAATTAAACCTCATGTCATGAAAGACAATTTCAAGGATGTTCTTGTAGAATGAGTATTGATTAGTCCTTTGGAAAACTCGAACCACCCTCAACTTGAGCATTGGTCTGTTGATCCTTGTTACTTGCTTGATGTTTCCCCATGCTCTCGCCATTTTTCTGTTTGTATGTGAAATTGTAGTGTGAGATTTTTGTGATACATGATATAGGCTCCGACGTTTATTTTATAGCCATGGGATGAAAGTAGACAACCATTAGATGATAAGATTAGTTAGACTCACGTTAATCTCTCTTGATAAGATTCATTGCACGTGATTTTAATTTCAGAGTTCCAATAAATTCAAACTCTAATATCATGATAAGATTAGTAAAACATGATTTATCATATTGTTAACTCTAGATTTATCCACCGTAGGACTCTGTATTTGTTATGTTTTTTAAATGAATGACATTGAATTCAAATGGAATATATTTCGGTCAATCCAAACACAAATGATTATCACGTTGGTATGGACCGAAATTTTTATGATGATAAGATAAGTGGAAAGTAGTTAAGAAGTGGAGATTTTTGTGTGATAGCATCATTACATAATTACCATCACCATCAATCTTTCCATTAAATTTCGGTCCATACCAACGTGATAAAAAAAAATTCTTGAAAATTTTTTACGTCAAACAAATAATATAATTACGTCAAAAATTTTGTACGTCAAAATTTTAATTCAAACAAATCTTTCCATCTTTTTACGTCAAGATTTTAATAATAATAATTTATATATAACACAAATTAAAATAAATATTATAACCAAATTCATATTTATGAATATATTTCATTATAATAAATTATTGAAAAATCACGCAATATAATTCATTAAATGTGTGTTTGATTTAGTTATTGTTAATTTCGTAAATTTTTTTGTTCAAATAAAAAATACACCAATTTTGAATTCAAATGGAATTCAAAGAGTGATACTCGATCAATAAAAACCTAAAACAATTTTGAAATCAAATTGTAATTTTCAACCTTATCATGTATGAGGATAAGATAAGTGCAAGGTAGTTAAGAAGTGGAGTTTTTTGTGTGATAGCATCGTTACATAATTAACATCTTTCCATTAAATTTCGGTTCATACCAATGGGATACAAAAAAAATTATTGAAAATTTTTTTACGTCAAACAAATCTTTCCATCTTTTTACGTAAAAATTTCAATAATAATAATATATATATAACACAAATTAATATAAATATTATAATCAAAATTCATATTCATATTTATGAATATAATTCATTATGATAAATTATTGAAAAATCACGCAATATAATCTATTAAATGTACTTAATTCAGTTATTGTTAATTCCGTAAATTTTTTTTTATATAATCTTATATTCGAAATATTTGTTAAAATTTGTATTAATTTATATCTTGTATCATGGAATTCTACCAATTTTAAACTAATATACAGTAGAACTCAAAAATTAAATGTTCAAATTTTCACATTCATGCGACATTTAATAAAAAAAATATCCAACGACATTTTATAACGATAACAAATATAATAACACTAAAATTTATTATAGAATTCCGAATTCAATGACATGGAATAAAATTAAAATTCATAATAACCAAATTCTAAATATCATAAATATCTCCTGCTCCTTGCTATGTTGAGGGAAAATATCAACATTTTGAGGGAAAATCCCACCATATTTGATAACATTAGTTCTTCCATAAATTTATAAATATGAATTAAAATATTTTTTAAAATTACATGAATTTGATATTACAAATATAAATATTTACCTGTTCATCATGAAACAGTATATGGAATGCGTTCCAACTCTCCCGTTGGTGATGCGTTTCAACTATTAGGACTGCTTTCAAATGCAAAAAAGGCTTGTTTCTCTTACTCACGGAATCGAGTGTATCCCAGACTGGCGGCATTTATTATCAATGTGTTCTGAAATTTATCTTTTTTTTTTTCTCTGTAAAATTTATCTCGGTTTTTTTTCTCTGTGAATGACGTGAACTTTTTTTTTTCTTTTTCTAAACTGTGAATGACGTGAATTGTTGAGTAGTGGTAGTGCATATGATTTTATACTAAACAATCGTTTTTGAACTAAAGATTCGCATAATTATGTAATAATAATTATGGATCCAATTGTGACTTATCCACATATCCCTATAATATCTTTAATCAATTAATTTTTGAATTAATCATGTAATGATAATTCTGGATCCAATTGTGACTTATCCACAATCCCAATAATATCTCTAATAATAATTATGGATCCAATTGTGACTTATCCACATATCCCTATAATATCTCTAATCAATTAATTTTTGAATTAATCATGTAATGATAATTATGGATCAAATTGTGATTTATCCACAATCCCAATAATATCTCTAATAAACAAATTTTTGAATTGAAGTATGACTGTTTTAAATTTCGTGTATTATAAATGCAGTAAATATGGTTTCTATATTTAGATTGTCAAAATTTTTTTTTGGTCAAAAGTTTCTAAAAAGGTATTTTAACAACAACCTTTTTATATATATATATATATATAGATATAGATTTTATTTTCTATATATGATCTACCAAAATAATCATATTTTAACGATCTTCGATTTGATATCCATATTGCATATATAAAATAAATAATAACTTCCTCTATATTTATATATAAAAATTATTTTATTATCATCTCAATTTAAAATATATCAAATAACAATATAAATTATTTTGTGAAAAAAATAATCATTTTATTATTTTTTTCATAATTTTTAGAAAAAATATGGAAATTAAGTATTACATAAAATAAATTTTATGAAATATTATAAAATATTGTTTTTCAAATTAAATAGATTATAAAAAAAAAACTTAATGTTATTATGTTATTTAAAATAGATAATATGAAAAATATCATAATTAAATATAATAAAATAATTTTGTATTTCATAATTTTAGAAAATAATATATTTCTACTTAAATTTTAAATTATAAATTATATTGATTTAAAATACTTGAAAAATTAATAGACGTGAGACACTGACTCTATAGATATAAAATATAATCACAATACAGTAAAACTTGTTTTGTTATAAAAACAAATCAAATATATGGAGTTATAAATAATATTAGTTTTATTCATATATTATTTTAAAAATATAATTATAAAATATCTTATTTGACAAATTTAGTGTAAAAATACGGGCACCATTCGAATTAATTAGTGTAAAAAATATCTTCTTCGTAGGGAGCTGAGTATAAGACAGACTTCTTGTCAATGGAAAATCTTTTCGATTTTGAAGGTCCATTCGTAGCAGGATGAAAATTACAACTCAATAATTGAACCTTGACATTCAGTATCACTACTGTCACAAAGCGGACTAGCATATACTTACACGTCTATCACTTGGACCATATAGAGCAACACTAGGAGGATAAGAGGAACTGTGCACAGAAAGATAAATTCATCAATCACCCTAATTGTCAAGGACATTCTACAAGGAAGACAAAAGTATGCAGCATAGCAAGAAATAGAATAACATTTCTACAAAGACAGATCAGTAGTAATTACAACTGCACAAACCGGACCTCCAAAATTGCATAGATCTCACATCACTAAGTTTTGGAAAAACAATTTCAATGATGCTGCATGACTCAGCAACATGACGTGTAATCTTTTATGTATACCACCTGTACTAAATTTGTATTTATACAACACTAATTCACATCCTGTACATTTTCTACCGATGAACAAGACTTTGAGTATGAATAATTGCAGCAGCAATGGCGAACGACTGCAAAGTAGACAGAGTCGTCTGGAAATGGATACAGTACAAACCATCCTGAATCATTGTCATTCTGAATATTGGCACATCTTGTTTTGGTCCCTGCAAATGATTAAATGAAGGAATATGGTTAATTGACATTTACAAAATAAAATAAATGATTAAAAGACGAATATCGAAAGTAGAGATGAAATTGCAGAGAACTGAACATTGATAAAAAAACTCAACGATTATATATGATCAGGTTGGATAAATCATATATCAATATGTTCACTTATAGTATCACACATTACAATTTTCGATCGAAGCTAACATGTATAGCATGTTTTTTCAAGGATAGAACAGACACGATAATAACCTATAATGTTATTAATCAAAAGAACATCTCTTAATATAAACGTATACCATTGGAACAATCGCAACAAACACACATTAAATTTAATCAATAATCGGAAACCTTGTCATGTTTTCAGAAGTACTCATCATCCCATTCAGGAAGTATTCAATTCAGCACACAACATCAGAATATGGCAAAAAAGGGGAAAACAAAAACAGAAAGGGAGAAAATAAATGTGTTGACAAACCTGCATAAATAGATCAATTGACTTGCAGTCCCCCATACTATACGAATTTGCACCAGTGGGCCTCATGTTGAGAACCTTTAGTGGGCAGCCCAAATCCCAGCCGCCACAGTCACAAACGCCACCGGAAATCCACCTCTCGACGAGATTTGCAGGCCCAATTCCTCCCGTTTTCGGCCCACCATGAATACCAGCTGGAATCAAAACATCAAAACTTGTTGAGCAATTCCCCATGGGCAAAATCGTCTTTAACGGCATATCCTTTCCCCATTTTTTCAAGAACTTCAACCCCCACCCACCGATGATATCCTCATCACTACTATTATTCTTGAACGTGTCCTTAACTATAATGGCAGCGATTTCTAGCTTCTGCACATACTCGTTTTCACTTTCACATGGGTCCCAAGTAGAATCCTCGAAAATGGCACCAGAAGTTCTCTGGTCAAATGATCTGAAAACTTTTGTCACCTTACTCACCAATCTTTGCCTCCTTTTCCTATAATGATGCGAGATTTTCAGCTCATTTATACAACGATCCTCACTAGAAAGAGACACAACAAACCTAGTCTCCTTAACTTCCGTTGAACTATTCGGACATAACGTGATCGAGGTCGAAACTTTCATCGTGCAAAGGCTTTGAAGCTCGATTTCTTGATCACCAAGTTCTTTCTTTCTTTTTACATTGGAGCAGAAATCGTAAATATAGTCAAAACCATTATCACCTGATGGCTCGACTTTCAACAGGCTAGCAGCATAGATATCCGTTGTATTTTCGATGCTAAAAACATAATAAGGCATCTCGTCTCTCAACTTGCATTGCAACATTCCTTGAAATGAGGCAGCCCTTTTATGCCCAGGTGAGCATGCATAACATTTTTTGCGGTTTAAAATCATTACCTCGTTTTCGGGCTTTGGCAAATTACTCAGTGAGTTTAGGAAATCGGAATAATCTGGATCGAGTAATTTTTTTACCCGGAAATTGGTTGAGCCAGATTTTTTAAGCAAAGGGCTATTCAGGATGCTGTTCATACTCTGGCTACCGGTGAGAATTTCTGGCTTAGCCATATTGTGTGGTCCTATAATTCTGGTTGGGGCTAAATTGCATTAATTAGAGGTGGCTGCTCTTAATGCGTAATAATTCAAGGCAATGCATCCCATACTTTTCCTCAAAAGCTTGCAATATGCTTAGGAATACAACTAAGATGAATACCGTTAGTTTTAGGAAGGAATATGTCCTGCCAACTTGAAATCGATTCTTAACATCGTAACATCTGCTACTGGAGTTTGCTCAAGATCTACTTCATTTACACATGTATTTGTGACTTTCGCCACATTTTCCTCATTTTCACCAACTTTGGGCACATTCATACTAACTCCTAGCTTCAGTTAGGCAAAAAAGCACTCTGGGGTAAAGAAACGAAATCCATATTAGTAAGGTCGTTGTTATGGAATTGATATTCTAGACAAACCTGAAAAAAGGATGAAGCAAAATCCAGGAAAATATGTTAATTAAATTTGGTTTGGAAGGCAATTCCCGGTCCATACAAAAAGAGAACATGATTGTAAGAGCCAGCATTGGAAAAAAAAAAAAAATCGAAGAATATGATATTTATTTGTGATGGAAAAACTTGAACAACATTATATATTTTAAAACAATTGAGACCAAAAATTGACAGGAAACCTAACTAACATTAACGAAAGCAATGATACTGAGGACTGCAGTTTGCTAACCAAGCAAGTATAAAATTTGAATTCACTACAGTCTATATATACTTGCTAATCCACAAAGGCTTATGATATTAGATGCATATGATGCTAAGAGGTGAAACTACACCTAAACCAAGATAAACAAAACAATGGAAGAAGAAAAAAAGAAAGGAATAGACAAATTGATTCAATACCTCAGGTAAACTTCTACTGGAATATATAAAATCAATCTAAAAATCCCAAAAATTACTTCAGAATTTAGATAAATATCGCAAAGGATAGTCACAAAACTCTTCCAATGAACTCCAAAACCTCCTAAACCAATTAATCCAAAAGAGACTTTACTTTATGAAAAGCTCATAAATGCGCAAACTTTAAAACAGTAAAAACATTCAACACAGCGTACAGGCATTAAATGAACTATTTTATCACCTACAACGGTCAAACAATAAAGCGTTAGAACTGTATGTCAATCCAACATTTTGAAACAACGTTCGTCTGATTCATCTTCACACAAAAAGAAAAAAAAATGAAAAAATCATCAAAGAAAAAAAAAAGACCCATTTAATGTCACTCTCCAGCCATACCCACAATCTGTAAAGAAAATTTTAAAACCATATCAAGAAAAACACCGCACGTAAGCTTGAAGTTCAAATTCCGGGAAAATATATATATACATGGGCTTGAAAATGAAAAAAGGAAAGAGAAAAAGAGAAACTTTACCTACTTTCACATGGATGATCTCAAGATTATTATTAAGTTTTCACCTGCCCACCACCCAATCGTCTCAACCCAGAATTTGAAATAACCGATTTTACAAATCACAGTTTGATGCCCAAAGCATAATCACTTGGGATTGGAGACGGAGAATTCGGGGAAGAAAAAAGAAAATGTTGCATAAAATGGCTAAAGCCACTTTTTATTTGTTAGTCTTTTGAAAAATTTGCATGGGTAGGTCCCACATCTCAACATAAATTAATCATCTTGTAATTTCAAATTTTCATGGTCCAATTACAACACAGACCACAGTTCTCGCGGACATATTCTCAGAAACAAAAAAAATAAAAAAATTGGACCTTGCGAAGCAAAGAATGAAAGAAAATGGAAATTGAGGTCAAATAAAACATGTGTTATAATCTGTTCTAAGGGCATGTTTGCAAAGCATTATAAATCAAAAGAGTGATTACACACAACCACTAGATAAACACTATCTAGAAAAGATTAATTTTTTAGTTGTTTGTGGTTCAATATGGACTCAAGATAAGCTTTAGTGGAATAACTATTTCTCTCATTTGGGGTGTTAGATAAGGCCTAGATAATTATGTTTAGAAAATATTAACTTTTTTGTTGTTTGTGGTTTAATATGGGCTCAAGATAAGATTTAGTTAGAATAACTATTTCTCTGGTGTTAGATAAGGCCTAGATAATTATTTAGAATAGTACCACAAAATCTCTTGTGCTTATTTGTCATGTATGAAATCATATGATAAAATTTTGAAATTATCAATTTGCCCTTATATATATACATATATATATATATACATATAGGGATTGGTTCCAATGCATTCCATTATAGTGAGGACGTGAGACTCATTCCTAGCCACAAGATTTAGATCTTGATTTAAATAATAATTTTTTATTTTTATTATTTAATTCTTTATTTTTAATTATTTAAATATTATTATGACCATTCACCGTTGACTCCGGCGTTGACTTTCGGCGAAAATCGTTGACTTCCGGCGTTGACCGTTGACTCCGGCGTTGACTTCCGACGTTGACCGTTGACCATTTGTCTTTTGTTATGTTATTTCTTTCTTGTTAGGTTAGTTGTGTCTTGTTGCTAGGTTAGTTGTTTGTTGTTGCTAGGTTAGTTATTTGTAGCTGCTATGTTAGTTGTCTTTTGTTGCTAGGTTATTTTTTTCTTGCTGCTAGGTTAGTTGTCTTTTGTTGCTAGGTTATTTCTTTCTTGCTGCTAGGTTAGTTGTCTTTTGTTGCTAGGTTATTTCTTTCTTGCTGCTAGGTTAGTTGTCTTTTGTTGCTAGGTTTTTTTTTTTTTTTTTTAAACAAACAACGCCCCGGAAGGGCGGGGGATTGGGCTGGATCCCCAACCTGTGCATAGATCAGGGCCCCAAAAACGGGAGCCCAATAATGTCAACGAACCAGATACAAAGGTCTACATAGTCTGAGAATCAAAACCAAAACCAAAAGAAAAACAAGAAAGAAAAAACCGAAAAACGAAAAAGAAACAAAAAACTACAATATAAAGTCGATCTTCGGGCTAACAGATGCCCGAGATAAATGTCTATACTAATGAAAATAGAAATCCTAAACTAGTGAAAGCGGAACGCTGGATATCCAAGCTGGTCCATCCGTACAAGAGTGCGAAGGCGGAGTGGAGCAGTGTCGGTCTGGAATGTATGTGTGCCTGGTATGGTGGCGCCAAGGCTGGCCAGGTAATCAGCCGGTCTGTTCCCCTCACGGAAAATGTGCGTGATCCTGTGATGGACTGACCGAAGTAGATCTCTAATGCGCATAAGCGGGTGCTGAATCTGCCACGAGCCCTGATGGCCCGAAGTCAGGAGGGTGGCGACAGCCGCAGCATCCAGCTCGATCCATATATGACTAGAGAGGTGGACAGCAATCTGAAGGCCAATCTGTAGTGCCTGAATCTCTGCATCGTAGCTCGAGGAGGCCTGAATGGACGCGTGGAAGGCGGTGATGAGGGCGCCGCTATGGTCCCGAATCAAGCCTCCTCCTCCGGCAACTCCAGTGTGGCGATCAAAGGAGCCATCAGTGTTCAGCTTGACCCACGGAGAGTCAGGTCGAAGCCAAACAACAGCTCTGGCCCGAGGAGGCCGAACAGGCGGTGGTGGGGCCACCATGTAGCGATGCGGTGGCGTGCAGCCTGTCCAGTCTCGGGCCGTGAGCCTGCCCAATGAGATGAGGAGTGAAATGTGTCTCTCAACCTGCAAAACAATGTGAGAAAACATAAAAGTAATATCCCTATGCTTCGCACTATTCCTTTCTGTCCAGGTGAACCAAAGGATCAGACAAGGAATGAGGAAGCCCACGTGTCTAAGGTGTGTGCTCTGTGAGAAAAAACTCAGGAGCTCAAAAAAACTGTATGTGGTGGGTAGGGATATATGAGTCCAAGTGGCAAAATGCTCCCACACTCTCCTCACAATCTCACTCTCTAGAAAAAGGTGGGTAAAGGTCTCAGTCTCATGGCGTCCAGTCTCAGAACAACACACACACCGAGAGGGGAAGGAGATCCCCCTCGCGTGTAGCACAGTATCGACGGGTATCCGGCGCAAGAGAAGGCGCCAAAGGAATACCGAAATAGTAGGCGTAAAAAGGTCACTCCAGATAGCCCCGAAGAGGAGATTAGGCCGATCCCTCAGCCTTATCTGCTCCCAAGCCGAGGTAGTAGAAAACACACCTGATGATGTAAGTCTCCACCTCATGCTATCTGAACCGTCCCCCGAGATAGGGATCTGCTGGATCTGATCTAATAACTGCTCGCTAAAACCCGCACCAGCCCCCAACTCCCTATCAAGCTTCCCCCTATCCCACGACCCGTCCGTCCAGAGGTCGCTCACGAGCAGGTAGGGGGAATGCGACACCTGCCTATCCCTAGACAACGGCCTATCACCTACCCACCACTCATCCCAAACACTGACATCGCCCCCGCCCAAAACCCAAAAGATGTGATCCTGGGCTCGCCTCCCGACCCTAGTGAGGCGCCGCCACTGTCTGCTATCATGATCAACAGCCGTGACCCAACAAGGGTGGTTGGCACGTCTAGGGCAGTACTTGCCGCGAAGGTACTGAGCCCAAAGCGACTTTCCTTCCCTGAAGCGCCACCACAGCTTGTATGAGAAAGCTGTAACAATGTCCCTAAGGCGGCGGATGCCAAGGCCACCCTCTGGGAGGGGGCGGCAGATAGAGTCCCAACTCACCCAGTGAGTACGTCTCCCCCTCCCAGACCCGTCCTCATAACCCCAGAAATAACGAGCCATAATCTGGTCAAGCTCGTCAAGAGTAGACCTAGGGGGGTCGAGGACCATAAGCAAGTGAATCGGAAGAGAGCTAAGAGTGCTCTTGATCAGCGCTAGCCGACCACCGAAAGAAAGATATCTATGCGACCAACCAGAGATCCTGTCGATCATCCTCTGTCTGACGCCCGCAAAGAGCGCTCTCGTGAGGTTGCCCTTATATAAAGGGACCCCGAGGTAGGTAATGGGAAGGTCGCCACGCGCAAAGCCAGTAATGTCGTGGACCCGCTGAGCCCACCTGTCCACGGTGGCAGATGAAAGGATGAAGGTGCTCTTCTGCACACTGACCAGCTGACCGGTGAC